GGGGGGGGGGGGTGATCTCACAGGAAATCAACTAAATTAAATATCAACCCTGGCTGCCGGGATAGAATGGCTTTAGCCACGGAAGACAAAGAAGGCCATTGTTCATTCTTGTGAGTGCAGGGCTGCATTTTGGGGAAAGGGGCGTGGCTATAACTTAACTTTTGTTTCTTTACTGTTTTGTGGACGCAGTTTCTTGCAATTACTAATGACGGTGGGGTTAAAAAAGAAAAAAATCATTTTAAAATATGTAGAGGGAAGAGGGTTACGGGTGTAGGTCCGGTGATTACTTGCCGAAAAATATCTGCTACTGAGTTTTGTTGTGGCTAGTGAAGAATAAATAAAAGGGTTTGGGTATGCGTTCAACATACCCAGGGGGTTTAAGGATATAAGGGTTCCAGCATGTCAGCCCGTCTCTCAAAACACTTAAATACAAAGAGGTACTCTCAAAATATTGTATAACAAAATTATGGCAAATCATCTTTTTACAACATCACCCGACAAACAAAAAAAGAAAAAAAACCTCCCCCCTCTCTTCTACTCGAGAAAAAGCAACAAAATACATTTAGATGCCCATGGTCATGCCTAGTCAACCCCTATCAAACCCCATTTAACAATAACCCAGCCCTCCCCTCCCTTCCTCCTTCCCAATCACCCTCCCGTCTTTCTTCCCAATGACCCTCCCTTCCTCCTTCCCTCCCGCCCGCCCACCCCCCGTTCACAGTTTTCTCCTCTTAAAATAATATTAATAACCATTAGCATAATTATCACTTATCACATATGCAAATTGAATGGGTTGTTGTTGTTTCCAATGATGATTTGTTTAAAAAAGTGCTTGTTTGATTCCACTGACACAAAACGGAACAGCAAGGAGTGGAGTAGAAAAGTGGTGACTTATTTAAAAAAGAAAAGAAAAAAAAGAAATCACTTCAGCAACAGCATGATGAAAAGATCACGGACTGATGTTCATTGCATTTCGAGACGGCCAGTAACAGCGGTGGGTCGAATTTTGTCTTGAGCCGTTTCGTTTCTACTGGCGGGGCACAACCGGAGGAGTGCGCGGTTAGACGGCCTTCATCAACTGACGCTTAATGCCGAAAAGTTACAGGTGTGTTCCGACATCCTCTTGGCTTCGGAGCACGCTGTGTGCGCAGTGTGAGCTGAACTCCACTACAATTTATACAACCTCGTGTACACATGTGGCTCTCAAAACAAATGCGGATGTCTTCACATTGACACAACAGTACCATAATCTCAACAAAGCTACACGCAGTAGAAACCAAACATGATCGTGTATTGTAATTTGTTGTTCTGACGAGTTAAAAAACAACACAAAAAACAAAATCAAAGCTTTGTAGTCTCAAAGTACACCTGTAAAAACTGTGCTAATTGCATCTCATAATACAAAGTCTTATTACACAATTTTGCCTATTTTCCTGAGTTAATACGTTTCTTGTAACAGACAATATATACTTTTTTGCCATTTGAATTCTGGGCCTTTCCCTGCCACAAATGTTATTATTATTGACATTACTCATTATTACTTTACAATGGTATGATGATTGGTAAAACACAAGAGTTCAGAAAAAAAAAAAAAAAAAAA